CTCCCCCAAGGGGGAGAGGGGGATGGTCGGATGGAGGGGGCCACTCACACAGAAGACGTGCAGCAACATGGCACCTCGCCGGCGCTCCTCCGTGGTGAAGACGTCGTCCGGAAACTCGACTGGTGGGAGGGCGAAACCAGCACAGGTGTTAAGAGCTGACAGAGGTGGGGCAGAGCATGGAAGCCACAGATAATGGGTAAATGAAGTGGAGTGAGCGCTCCCCACAGGACACACGTGACATTGCACTATCGACCACGTCAAGGAAACACTTCGCATATGAACCCGAATCATGAACACAGATTCATTACAGTTGCTTCATCCCCTAATTTTCTCTTACTCCAAAGTCACCTTACAACTGAGAGCAGAAACCAGCTTCTGCAATCAGCAATCTATTTACGCATCCTGCAGTTAGATTATACCATATGGTTGACATTCAGTGTTGAATGAGGCAAAGCTCTCGTGTTACTTGGTGGGATTCTTGACTGACGCTCTCCGGGTGTCACTTCTGAAGTCCGCTTTTTGTGTCGCAGGTGACCTTTCACCCTGACACACTATTCGGTGAGGAGTTTGATTGACAGGTCAACAGTGATGACTCAGAGTCTATCAGAGGAGGTTCAGTCGAGCATTATTGGGCGATTTTAAAACATCGGTCTCCAGCTTTGATGTTGAGTATGTGGCAGGTCACTGATTAGATGACATGGCTTTTGTGTGACTTTAAGCCATCAACAGAACCCCTTGAACTGTACCGGAGCCTTTAAACTTCAAGTACAACATCCTTTAACATCCTGAACTATAATTATTCTTGCCGCTTAACAAAGGCCTTCCATCAAAAGCCACTTACACAGTGTATATCTTCTTGACATGTTCTTCTTCAAGGTTCAGCAGATCTCTCACTTTCCTTCTTCAGCAGTACTTTCTGTCCCTCACAGACGTTACATCAACTACTCTATATCTGTCCCCTTTTCACAGCTCTCCAATCCCTCCTCTGGCGCCAAGGGCAACCGGCAGAAGCAGCCAATGGCCTTACAGTCCCTTCAAGGTCAGCCAATTACAGAGCTGTCTTCATGGGAGTACACACGGACTTTTCTCTCGGGTTGGTTTACATCTGTGTCCCTATCTTGGCATTTTAATGTAAATGCCCCCACAACTGTGCACACAGCTGTGTCTATACACAATCTCTCCTAGCGATCTTAATTGGATGTTGACTTTGTTGTGTGCCAGCCGAAATCAATCAAGCCTGAGGAAAAGGCTGCATAAATCTTTCATCTCTCTTGGCATCAGCAAGAAGGTTTAAATTCAGTTGAACTCTGTCAATCCAACTGAAAAACAAAAGAAACCAGTTCAGATGAGAGGAGTAGCTGCACAGAATGAGCAGGAATCTGTCTTATCCAGTGATAAACTGTATAAATGACAGAAGAAACCCTCTATTTATGTAACTAATCTACATTTGATAATTTGCAGTTGAGGGACAGGACGTAGAGTCACCTTTTGCATGTTATGATTCACTACAATTATACCAATAAAAATTGACGGCTAAATTTTAGAATATATATTCTCTCTCTCTCTCGTGAGTCACTCTTAATGTGATAATCGTCCTCCACACCAAATCCACTTTCAGTGGCCCGGTGTAAAAAAATAATTGGTTTTGCACAGTCAAAATCCACATCTCAGTGGGGGTCTCCCATAGCCAGGTTATCTCTGGTCTTTTTTACCCTGGAAATTAAATTTCGAAATTATGTGAACATTTAGCAAAACGGTGGCTATTCGTGGGAGACAAAGGTGCGGGTATTCTGCATTTTTCCTAACCATTTTATTCCGCATCTGTCAGCGGCTGCTGCCTATATTTAAGCTGTTACTCAGTTCCTTCTTAAAGAGGAAGCCCTTTCCTCGCATCTAGACTGACATAATGAAGCCTGTCTGACAGCAGAGATAAATCGCTCTCTCGAAAGTAGAGAGAACTCTGGGTAGATATTCCAAGACTGTCTGCCAATCCTTCGCTCTCAGTGTCAATCCCATAATATTAAAATAACCATGATGGAAAATTAATTCAATGGAGTGACCCCAATTTTTTAGCCAAAGTAAACAAATAAATGCATGAAGGACATCTGCGGCAGTCATATTGACACATATATATAAATATAGTCGATGTGCTTTCGTATTCCATGCTGTCCCCTGTGTCCGGCCCTGCTGTCTCACGATTCTGCCCGTTGAAATACAGATTTTAAAAAAAGAAGCCCGCGGTTGCCTAGCAACGAGGTTCTCAGAGGAGATTCAGCAGCTGCCCATTTATGGTCTGGAGAAATTGGGGCTACGTATGGAATCAAACAAACATACAACTCCTTTCGGAACGGGTCTCCTGTGCGACCGAATCGTTCATCTATAAATCTGATTCCATCCATCCATCACTCACACAGTCATGGTTCAGTTAATTAGAATTACAGCTGCATTTTTTATTTATCTATTTATTTTGATGGCTTTGTATCAATACTCTGGCAGTCTATTAATGCTGTCTGTATGGGATACTGTCTCTGAACCAAATTGCAGACCTGGATTCAGTCACTATCATTTTTAAAATAAAAATACATTTTACCATATGTTTTTATCCAAGCTGACATATATGTTTTTGAGGCCAATTGGGGGGAAAAGGGCCTCATTCAAGGGCCTAACGGCAAAATCATGGGTTTTGAACCAGTCACCTTCCGATCACTGACACGGCATCCTAACCTGCAAAGCAGCCAATCAAACGATAAAACGGAAAAACTAGCTGAACGTACATTTCCAAATTCTGGATCTGTTTATTCAGCACACTTGCAGGATGGAGAATAAGTTACCGGCAAAGTGACAGGGTCTTATTGTCCCGTTGCTGTTCCGGCGCAGCGGCACTCGAATTTTTGTCCAGTGCGCAGCGGGAAAAAAATCCCAGCCTAGTTTACAAGTCATCTGGCAGCTGCACCTTCAGAGCTACTTTTCAGAAAGATAAGCTGGACTTAGCCCAGGGGTTTATGCGGTGGCTTGGCCTGGGGGCAGGAATCATGACCGGGGGCCAGGGCTCCGTAGCCCAGACGGGTTGGGGTCTGAGCCATGTCAGAATCCCACCACAGCTGCGAGCTCCGGTGCTGCGAAAGACCAGCAGCTTTGCAGCCTTGCTTTAAGCCGACTGGCGTATCCCAGCTGAGCAGTTAGATCCAGAGGATCAGGGTACCAGCAGTGCGCAGTACCCCTCTCTGCCTGTAGGAGGCGTACAAAGGAGTCCTGGCAGGTGGTGGGGGTCCTGCTGGTAATTTAGAGCTCAAAATGACCGAAGATGGGGAGAAAGTCCACGAATTCTTACACTACTTACAATCTGTGTCTCTGACCCTTGAACTTTGACTCCACCCTCAGCTGAAGCCCTGCGGTCACATGACCCACCCATCCAGAAAAACCCCATCCCGGCGTCACAGTGTGAACAGACGCCCTTAAGCTGCATGAGTGTCTCACTTCCTGTTTGCTGCGGTGATGTCACACGTGCAGGACGGCCCTTAAAAGCCCAGGCGTGATTCGACACCCAACCTGCTTTTCGGACACCCGACAATGGGACGCCCTTTTGGGCGATGAGTTCTGGTCCGAAATTGCGTTTAGGCCCCCCCCCCCTGCTCAACAAGCATTTACCAACAAGTAAGTTTAAACACTTGTCTTGCCAATGAAGTCAAACCGAGTGCATTTAACAGTGATTAGAGAGGATCAGCATGCTGGG